CGTCGGCTCCATAAGTTAGTCTGTAAGGTGTTTCTTGCGTTGTTGACTGTGGGGTGCAGTGGTATGCCCAGAGGATGCCGGGAAGCATGTCGGGCCACTCCCCTTTTGCGTTCCCTAGCCGTTTCTTGAGTTCCCGGAGGATGACCTTATTGGCTGCTTCGGCCTGGCCGTTGGTTTGGGGGTGCTCCACCGAGGTCGGCAAGTGCTTGATTCCGAGTTCTTGGAGGAAGACTTCGAATTCTTCTGCGATGAACTGCCGCCCGTTGTCAGTGACAATGGTGTGGGGAATTCCGAATCTGCAAACAATGTTTTTCCATGTGAACTTTCGCACGTTTTCCGTGGTGATCTTGGCAAGTGGGCACGCCTCGATCCACTTGGTGAAGTAGTCGATTGCCACCAGGAGGAACTTTAACTGACCCTTCGCGGGGGGGAAAGGCCCAAGGATGTCCATTCCCCACTGGGAGAAAGGCCATGCTGCCATCATGTGGTGAAGAGCCTCGGGGGGCTGTCGATGCGCGTTGCCAAACTGCTGGCACTCTTTGCATTTCTGGATGTAGTTTTGGCAATCTGACTTCAAGGTGGGCCAGTAGTATCCAGCCCGGAGTACCCTGGCTGCCATCGAGCGAGCTCCGGAGTGCATTCCGCATACTCCGTGATGAATTTCCTTGACAACATAGGCTGCTTGAGATATGGTCAAACATTTGAGCAGTGGGATGGAAATTCCGCGTTTGAATAATTCACCGTCGATGATGGTGAACTTTGCTGATCGCATTCTCACCTTCCTTGCCTCATCCTTATCTGTAGGCAGGGCTCCATCTTTTAGGTAGTTCCATATGTCTGTCATCCATCCTAGCTCTTCGCTGTCGTTGACATTGACAGTTTTATCATCCAGGCTGGGTGAGTGCAAGGTTTCCTGGATAATGGTTCGGTGTTGCCCGGGCTTTTTGGTACTGGCGAGTTTTGACAGTAGGTCTGCTCTGGTGTTCTGCTCTCGCGGTACGTGTTTTATGGAGAACTCATCGAAAGACGAGATCTGTTGGGCTGCGGTATGAAAGTATCTCTGTAGGAGGGCGTCCTTTGCTTGGTACGTTCCACTAAGCTGTTCTACCATGAGTTTGGAATCGCTGTTGCAGCTTACTCTTCGAGCTCCGAGGTCCCGGGCTAATCTTAGTCCGGCGAGGAGAGCTTCGTACTCTGCCTGGTTATTAGTTGCTTTAAATCCGAACTTGAGGGATTGTTCCACGGTGATTCGGTTTGGTCCTTCCAGGATGATGCCTGCACCTCCTCCTTTGGAGTTGGAGGATCCGTCTACATGGAGGGTCCATGCTTGGGGTTCTTCTGTGGTGGCCGGCGTGAGCTCGGCTACGAAGTCGGCCAAACATTGGGCTTTTAGAGGTCCGCGGCTTTCGTACCGGATTCCGAACTCTGACAGTTCTATTGACCAGGCAATCATGCGTCCGACAAGCTCAGGCTTTCGCAGGATTTGTTTGATGGGGTAGTCGGTTTTGACTACCACCTGGTGGCTTTGGAAGTAAGGTCGGAGTCGCCGGGCTGCGGTGACCAGTGCCAACGCCAGCTTTTCGACCATTTGGTACCTTCTTTCTGCGTCTTGGAGGACCCGACTGATGAAGTAGATTGGGGTTTGCGCCTTCTGATGCTCTTGTACAATGACGGCGCTGATGGCGCCTTCTGCCACTGCCAGGTAAAGAAGGAGGTCGGTGTTGTGATCCGGCCTTTGCAAGATTGGCGGGGTTGTGAGGAAATTTTTGAAGCTTTGGAAAGCTGCTTCACACTGGTCGGTCCACGAGAAGTCTTTTGGTTTCTTTAGCAGGGTGAAAATTGGTCCCGCCTTCTCCGCAAGTTTGGGGATAAACCGGGACAGTGAGACCAGCCGTCCGGCCAGGCGTTGCACCTCCTTTACCGTTTGTGGGCTTTGCATGTGTATGATGGCCTCGCACTTCTCGGGGTTGGCTTCGATTCCTCTACTGGTGATCATGAAGCCAAGAAACCTTCCTCCCCGGACACCGAAGACGCATTTCTCCGGGTTGAGACGCATGTTGTGCTTTCTGATCTGGGCGAACACCTCGGCAAGGTCGGAGGCATGGTCCGTTGCCGAGATGGTTTTTACCACCATGTCGTCCACGTAGACCTCCATGTTTCGCCCGATTTGGTGGTGGAAAGCTTTGTCCATCAGCCGCTGGTAGGTTGCCCCTGCGTTCTTGAGGCCGAAGGGCATCACCCGGTAACAGTAGTTGGCGCGATCAGTGATGAAGGACGTGTGTACTTCATCCGGTGGATACATCATTATCTGGTTGTACCCGGAATAGGCGTCGAGGAAGCTGAGGAGGGCATGCCCGGATGCTCCGTCGACTAACCTATCGATGCTCGGCAAGGGGTACGAGTCCTTGGGGCATGCTCTGTTGAGGTCGGTGTAATCGACGCACATGCGCCACTTTCCCGAGTTCTTCTTTACTAGGACTACGTTTGCCAGCCAGGTAGTGTACCTGACTTCCCGGATGAAACCGGCGTTGAGCAGTTTCTGCGTTTCTATGATGACGGCATCCCGTCTTTCGCCGCCGACCTTCCTTTTTCTTTGTGCGACCGACTTGGCCTCTTTGTGTATCGCTAACCTGTGGCAGATGAAGTTGGCGTCTATGCCGGGCATGTCAGCGCTGGACCAAGCGAAGAGATCGGCGTTCCTGAGGATTTCTTCCTGGAGTTGTTGTCGTAGTTTGGGGTCTAATTGTTTGCTGATCTTTGTTGTTTGGCTGGGGAGCTTTCCGATTTGGAGATCGTCGAGCTCATCGACGGGACTGGGCCGCTCATCGTGAGCGTCGGATCTCGGATCGAGGTCGGTGGTTTCCTCGTGGTCAGCACGGGTTAGAACAGTGAAGTCGCTTTTGTGTTGTCTGATTGAGAGGGCAGTTTCTAGGCTGTCTATGTAGCATTGTCGCGCTTCCTGCTGGTTTGCTCTGATGGAGATGATTTTTCCGTCGTGCCCCGGAAATTTCATGGTAAGATGCGGGGTGGACACTACCGCCCCGAGTTGGTTTAGGGTTGACCTGCCGATGATGGTGTTATAGGTGGAGTTGGCCTCCACCAGTAGGTACCGAACCAGGATTTGCCGGGAGGCCGGCGGTGTTCCGAAGGTCGTCAATAGGTCCACTCGTCCTCTGGGGTGGATGGTTGCTCCTGCAAAACCGACCAAAGGTTCGGTGTGAGGTTGTACGAGAGAGTGGGGAATGTCTAACCTGAGGAATGTTGGCCAGTATAGGACATCGGCCGAGCTTCCCTGGTCGACCAGGGTCCTGCGAACTTCCCAATTGGCTAAAGTTACTGTCACGACCATGGGGTCGTCCTGATTTGGACTGATTCCGACGTAGTCGTCGTTGGTGAAAGATATGGTGGGCGAGTCTCGGCGCACAGTATGCGTGGCGGGGTGTACGCGGTTGACTTTGCGTAGGTGTTCTTTCCGGGACGAGCTGCTGGCGCCGCCCCCTGCGAAGCCGCCCGCAATTGTGCTTACTAATTGGTTTGGGGGGCTAGGCCCTGCTCCTCAGTCTTCCAGGTCCCGGACTGTCTCGCCGAGGCCGAGTGGTGAGTCGGAGGGACGATCGGGGTACCGCCATTGGGTTTGAGCGCGGGCAGTTGTGCTCTTTAGGATTGTCAGGTTGGTGACGTAGGTCGAGTCTCCTGAAGCTGTATGTTCGTTGCTCATTTTGCTTGGGTGCTCGTCTGATACGGTTCCTGGTACGGACCGTGAGGGTAGCCGATAAGAGCTTGGTCTGATCGGCCCCACGGTGGGCGCCAAATGTTCTTACCGGAAATCTGTTGTAGAGCTGATCCGCCGGGTAAGATCGGTGAGCCTCCTTTGGTGATGTATTGGTGCTCCAAGATGGGGGAGGTACCTGTAAAAGAGACTCCGATGCCAAAGTTAGGGTTTGCACGAATAATAGTCTCATATATATAATGCACGTACCTTGAGGTCGTTTAGGGTTGTATTGGGCCCTGGGCCTGAGATGAGGTCCCCGGGTTCAGGTGTGATCTGTCCAGGCTCCGGGCTGTTATTGTTCAGCGCGTGCCCGGTATGACCTTTGTCTCGCTAGTCCGGACTTAGAGCCCGAATGCGGGATGCGGCCAGTACAGATACATTAATTTATACAAAGATAAAGAAGGAGAAAGAGAAAAAAGAAAGAAAAAAAATAAAATGCAACAAATGACGTGATAAAGGAATATAAACCCAAAAAATATATTCATAAAGTCGTTATACATATATCATTGTTCTTAAATAATTATTATCATAATGATAAAATAAAAATTAAATTATACAGTTAACTAAAAACTTAATTTGATTTTTAAATGTTTAATTTTAAGTTTTTTGTCATTTAATAAATTAGTATATGATTTGTTTGAAAATATATAAGTAAATGAAAATTTAGAATATATAAGGTGGATTCCCCTATGAGTTTTTTTTCTCTCTCCCAAACTTTGTAAAATTTGATGGAGATCGATGAGATTGAGTTTTTTTTTCCCCCACCTTTTTATAAATCTAAACATTTATTTTTCGCCGTCCCGTCGCGACCGAGGTTGCTACAATGCTCATTGGTCAATAGAGATCTTGATAAATATCCCTCTTAAACCGCTACACTTCAGAATTTATTATTTTACTTTTTGGTATACACAACAGGAAAAGAAATATCATATTATGATTGAAATAATTCACTTGTATTTTCAGCGTTTAATTTAACATTAGATATAAAAAATCATTCAATATTTCAGGTGCATAATACTGTTGAATTTTTTTTTACAATAACAAACTAAATCTACCTTGATTCCTGTGCTAGGCCGACATTGTTGATTGGTAATTATCCAAGGTAACTATTATCACCTAATCTATGCAGAAATCAGAAGGAAAACAACATAAACTCTGCCACCAGATAAAAAGAAAATGTGAATACCCCTGAATAACATAACACAAGATTGCTTCTATTTTTATTTTTATTTTTGAATCATAACATTGAATGATCGAAACATATACACTGTACACACATACTTATCTGTCTTGGTTGATGGTAGAATGGTCATTTCAGCATAGGGTGTGGCCCAAACCAAAGCCGTCATAAGCTACTCCAAATCAAAGCACCAAACTGGCCATTATGAATACAGCTAACATTGTTATTATTTGTCTTTTCTTTAAGTTTTAAATATAGACCAATGGACAATTGAACATGATGATTACCACCAATTTGTAAATTTTCCCAACTCAGAATTTGGAAAAACAGAAACCAAGAAAGAAAGAGTCTTCACTTCACCCCTATTCATTTGTAATGGCATCATTTGCAGGCACTACTCAGAAGTGCACAGTATGTGAAAAGAAAGTTTACTGGGTGGAACAGCTCACTGCTGACAACAAGGTCTACCACAACTCTTGCTTCAGGTGTCACCACTGCAAGGGTACCCTCAAGGTTAGACCAAACAAAACTTAGTAGTAGGATATATAAGACCGTGCCTTTAAATTGAGACTATGTTTGGAACAACATCATAAAATCCTATTAACAATAAAAATCACGTTGAATAAGTTTGATTGATAGAAAGACTACTCTTTGTAACTTCTGTTAGATGCAGAGAGAGAGATAGTGTTAAACTACGTTATGGATTTGACCCGAACGTACACCCAGTTTTCTTTGCTTTGATCAATGCTTCATTCGACCTTTCACTCTTAGATTAGTCACATGGTTAAAGAGTGCTTGCTAGAAAATTTGTTCTGTTTCCAATTCCATTAATAACCATGCAATGTGAGTGGAGTCAGATAGGAAAAAGGAGCAATGTAGTCGTAGAAATGTGGATTGTAGATGGACTAGAAATACCATTGGATGTTATAGAGAGGAAGATCCAGTGTCAATAAATAACTTGTAGAGAATAGAAATATATTATATGCTTTTCAAATTGAATATGGAGAATGTGACCAAGATGGATCCAGGTGGCGAATCAATATCATGAATGTAGAATAAAGGATATTCTTGTTGACAATAAGTTCAGATCAATTAGCTCCTATTTGTACTTTCTTTCAAAGAGTGCTCAACACTCTTCTCCAGATGGCATTTCCTGCTTTGCATTTCCAACTTTCTTAAGCGCACAATCTCTTGTCTCACATGATCATACATATTTCCATCGTTAGGCATGACCATCAAGGAAAATCCTAATTTTCACAAAAAGTTTTTCATGGAATTTTAATAAAATGACGTGATTAGCTGGGAGAATATGAACGAATTATATAGCTTTATACCGTAATCCAATCATAAACTGTGATATAAGATAAACTTGTAAAAAAAAATTAATAATTATTTTAAAAATGATACTAATAGTGATTTTTAGTTAGTTGATAACGTAAAACTAAAAAAAATAAATTATATTTGTATATGAAAGTATACAATTTATCTAACTGCTATCTTGTTCTGAGATGTTTGAGGTTGGGATGCAATTATTCAAATTACAATCTATTCACTTCGATGGCTGTCCAGCTGACTCATTGATTTTTGCTTTTTCCTTTTCAACTTTGAATCTGTAAGGCAACCACATGATCCACCGACTTGTTGTATGGATGAAACTTTGGAATCATGTGACAACTTTCTACTCCATTATTTGTTCGGAAATTTTGTTTTTTCTCAAAATATTTATCACTTTAGGAACTAAAAAAGTATTACTTTTTCTTATTTATTATTGTTTCTCCTAAATATTAATTGATTCCCGACTACAATCTAATGTTTTTCATAAAAAAAATTTATAAACAAATTATATTTTAAATGTATATGTTATCTTAAAAGACAAATAATTTGAGACAGAGGAAATAATTTTTAATTACAAATATTTTGAAATGGAAAAATATGTTATGCATGTATTCTTGATCCTTATTTCCTCGTGCATTCCTGCAGATGAGT